GCCTCGCGGGCGTAGAGGCTGGAGCTGCGCTGGGAGCTGCCACCCGCGTCCTCGGCGGTGCCACCGCCCTGAGGGGACATTGGGGACACTCAGGGGACACTGGGGACATTGGGGACACTGGGGACATTGGGGACACTCAGGGGACATCGGGGACACTCAGGGACATGGGGACACTCCGGGGACACTGGGGACACTCAGGGACACTCAGGGGACACCGGGGACATTGGGGACACTCAGGGGACACTGGGGACATGGGGACACTCAGGGGACATTGGGGACACTCAGGGGACATCGGGGACACTCCGGGGACACGGCTGGAGCTGCGCTGGGAGCTGCCACCCGTGTCCTCGGCGGTGCCACCGCCCTGAGGGGACACGGGACAATCAGGGTGACACAGGATGACCCAGGGGTGTCCCCAGCCCCTGTCCCCACCTCCTCCTGGCTGATGTCGTCCATGGAGCCACAGGCCAGCGGCAGGACAGGAGGTGACCCAGGGTGACCCAGGGTGACCCAGGGGTGACCCAGGGTGACACAGGGGTGACACAGGGTGACCCAGGGTGACCCAGGGGTGACACAGGGGTGACCCAGGGTGACCCAGGGGTGACCCAGGGTGACCCAGGGTGATCCAGGGTGACACAGGTGTGACACAGGGGTGACACAGTAACCCAGAGGTGTCCCCACCTCCTCCTGGCTGATGTCGTCCATGGAGCCACAGGCCAGCGGCAGGACAGGAGGTGACACAGGGTGACCCAGGGTGACAGAGGTGACACAGGGGTGACACAGGAGGACACAGAGGTGGCCCAGGGGTGTCCCCACCTCCTCCTGGCTGATATCGTCCATGGAGCCACAGGCCAGCGGCAGGACAGGAGGTGACCCAGGGGTGACCCAGGGTGACCCAGGGGTGACACAGGGGTGACACAGGAGGACACAGGGTGACACAGAGGTGGCCCAGAGGTGTCCCCACCTCCTCCTGGCTGATGTGGTCCATGGAGCCACAGGCCAGCGGCAGGACAGGAGGTGACACAGGGTGATCCAGGGTGACCCAGGGGTGACACAGGGGTGACACAGGAGGACACAGGGTGACACAGAGGTGGCCCAGGGGTGTCCCCACCTCCTCCTGGCTGATGTCGCCCATGGAGCCACGCGCCAGCGGCAGGACAGGGGGTGACACAGGAGGACAGGGGTGACACAGAGGTGACACAGGGTGACAGAGGTGGCCCAGGGGTGTCCCCACCTCCTCCTGGCTGATGTCGTCCATGGAGCCGCGCGCCAGCGGCAGCCGGATGTCCTGCATCTTGCAGG